TGCAGCCATCATTGTTGTTTGGTGGGCCCAGGCTGGGGATTCGAACCTGCCACCTTAGGTGTATGTGGCTGGCGCCTTAGCTACTTGAGCCACAGGCACCAAGCCCATAATTTTTATTGTTTACCAAATACTTATTCTTGGACTCCATCTCACTTTTGCACTAGGTAATAGCTTTCAAAATTGTCTATGTTCTATTTCTCTCATCTATTCCAATTTACACCACAGCCAGATTAACCTTTTTAAAAATATTCCTTTTAATTTTTTTGCTTGCATAAGAACTCTGTGACTCTCTACTGCATACAGAAGAAAAGTCAAAATTCCTTAACTTGGCACTTAAGACTGCCTGTGTTCTGGCTCCACCCAGCTCACCAACTTTTGATTCCTACTGTCACCCAATGGCTCAGCTGAGCTGGGTAATTAATTCTAATGGAAAATAAGAAGGCACTGAAATGCCAAAATATTATAGAAGTACTTGGTACTTTACCTGGGAAAGACAAATGAGTTATGCTACCAATTACATTTTTCTACCAATGCCTGTGACACTCAGCCTCTACTCACCTCTAGTTGAGATGCAGTAGCCTATGCTTAAACACACTTCATTAAGAGACACTATGTTACCTGTGCACAGTGGCTCACACCTGTAATCCTAGCACTCTGGGAGGGTGAGGCGGGTGGATTGCCTGAGCTCACAGGTTTGAAACCAGCCTGAGCCAAAGATGTCATCTCTAAAAAAAAAAATAGCCAGGCATTGAGGCAGGCACCTGTAGTCCCAGCTACTTGAGAGGCTAAGGCAAGAGAATCGCCCAAGAGTTTGAGGTTGCTATGAGCTATGATGCCATAGCACTCCACCAGGGGTGACAAAATGAGATTCTGTCTCAAAAAAAAAAAAAAAAAGGATCAGCAGCTGTAGCTCAAGCAGCTTAAGGTGTCAGCTACATACACCGGAGCTGGCGGATTCGAATCCAGCTCAGGCATACCAAACAACGACAACTACAACCAAAAAATAGCTGGGAGTTGTGGCAGGCACCTGTAATCCCAGCTACTTGGGAGGCTGAGGCAGAGAATTGCTTAAGCACAAAAGTAGGAGGTTGCTGCGAGCTGTGATACCACAGCACTTTACCCAGGGCAATAGTTTGAGACTCTGACTCAAAAAAAAAAAAAAAAAA